ACACACACACACACACACACACACACACACACACACAGGCAGAAACACACACTAAAGCTCTTTCCGGCCTGCTGACTTACAGCCCTCGTATCAACTCAACGGTCACCTGGAGGGAGAACGTATAAAGGAGGGAAGGAGGAGGAGGAGGAGGATGAAGAGGAGGCAGTTCAGGGGAGAGGAAAGCGTAAACAGAAGATCCGTCTTCCAACCAAACCGCCTCCTCAGTGAGGTTTTGAGGGATTTAAAACCTGAAGGAAAGAGTCACAGAGTCGACGTGAAGTCAGTCAGCAGCCGGGTTCAGGTCCGGGTTCGGATCCTCGGAGAGACGAGGGAGCGTCGGCCTCGTCGTACGGAGGAGTCCTGACGTCCTGGAGGACGCTTTAGGGCCAGAGGTCGCTCAGAAAAAACACAGAATCAGAAATGCAGCCTTAAAGTGAAGTGAAAAGATAAAAGTAGGATACGAGAGCAGAGCAGCGGTTATACTGGAGTCACGGCTGATGTTCACAGTTAATACTGACCTCATTGTTCAGATCAGCAACGGCTCGTTTCAACAGTTTTGCATTTAAAAAGCTGATGAGGAGCTGGAACTGTGACGCCTCGTCTCCTTCAGCCCACAGCCACACATCCAGAACGCCCTGCTGCTCACAGAGATGATCAACGAGGCTTCGGTTGGGTTTCTGTCGTCGTTCACGTCGGTTCTAACTCGTGTTCTGGTTCCGTTTAGGCACCGACACCACGTAGTCAGATCCAGGACAGGGTCAGGCTCTGGTGAACTCTTTGAAGCTTGTTAAATGTTCTCCTGCGTTTATCAGGGCGACAGATGTCACCGTGACACCGCTGGAGGAACAGCTGCAACAACAAGGCAATAGACTGATGGATACGATGCTTCAGCTAGAAACAGATGGAAGGTTCCCCTCAGAACGTAGTTCAGACCAAAGTTTAGCTGCAGTTTGGTAGAAAGAAGGAAACATGAAGAGGTCACTGAGACGAGATGAAACTTTATTATGTCAGGAAGGACGAGACCAGGAAGAAGAGGAAGGACAAAGGAAACGTAGATGAAAGAAAGGAGACGAGGGAGAAAAGAAAAGAGGACGAGAAGAGGAGGAGGAGGAGGAGGAGGAGGAGGACGAAAGATCTGGTGACGGAAAATACGACCAGATGATTAGAAATAGAGGAGGAGATGATGATGAGGAGGACGATGAAGAAGGTGATGATGATGAGGATGAGGAAGAGGAAGAGGAAGGTGAGGAGTAAAACAATCAGACACAAGCAGGAGGAGAGGTCCTGACCTCCTGCCTCCTCGTCGGGTTGATCTTCTGGCTCTGCTGCTCACTGGAGCTCCTCATTATCATGGTCCTGATCACCTCCTCCTGTCCTCCTCAAATCTTCTGTGAGGAGGAGGGATAAAGGGATGAGGAGGAGATCTGGGGATAAGAAGGAAGGAATCAGGAAGCTGAGGACGACGAGCGGTTTGGGAACGAGTCCAACCTCTGAACTCCAGAACCTTCAGACGGGTTTTAGTCTCACCTAAACGGCACCATTCATGAGAGCAGAACGTTGGACTGTTACGGTTCTGCAGAACTCTGGACTGATCGTACACTCACAATCCGGATATTTGCATCGTTCTAATGTAAAAAAAAATCTCCTTAAAAATAATTTGAGCAAAATAGATTCTGCAAAAAACGAAACCTTCTGCTGTTCTTGGTGGAACCGTGAATCCATCAGAGTCTCGTCATGACAAACCAGAGAGGTTTCATCTGAACTGCAGGTTTGGTGTCAACAGAGCCGAGAGGAAACGGATCAGAAACAGACGTAGATGAGTTTATTTTATTTAATTCAACCAGGTGAGTCCCATAAACACCTGCAGGCTGCTGGAAACAAACTCCACGTGTTGATTCTAAGTTTTAGCAGTTTTTGTGAAATAAATAATCAAAGACATCTTTGGGTTTCTGCGTTCTGCACTCGCTCTACCGACCGGTTCTGTCTCCTCCTCCTCCTCCTTCTCCTTCGTGTGGTTCTGGTTCCTCAGAGCTGCTGGACTTCGTGTAGAAACATGAAGCTCAGAGAAGGAACACCAGACGGGAGGAGTAAAAACGAAACCGCTGAGTTCAAAGAGGAGGAGGTCAAACGAAACGAGGAGGGGAAGAGTGGAGCAAACACGAAGGGAAAGGAGGCGAGGAGGAAGGGAGAGTGTGTAAACCCAAGGAGGAGGTCAGGAGGAGGTCAGGGGGAGGAGAATCAGGAGAGGAAGGAAGAAAAAGAGGAGCAGTGGAGTGGAAGCAGAGTCGAGGAGATGATGTGATGGAGATAATGGAGGAAGGAGATGTAGGTTAGAGATGATGTGGAGAGGAGGAGGAGGGAGGCAGGGAGGGAGAAATGGGAGGTGATGGAGATGGAGGAGCAGAGGGAGGACAGTAAATACAGGACTAGAGTCACAGCGAAGGAGGTGCAAAAATATTCATGAGGAAGGTGAAGAGGAGCAGAGGAGGAGGAAAAGATCAATCATGAGGAGAAGAAGGAGGTGATGGAGAGAGAAAAATGGAGCTAAGAGGAGCAAATGGAGGATAAAAGGATGGAGGAGCAAGAAAGAGGAGGAGGACAGCAAATACAGGACTGGAGGAAGTGAGCGAGTAAAGGAGGTGCAAAGAAAGAGTGAGGAAGAGCAGGAGGAGAAAAGGAGGAATAAAAGTGAGGAAGGTGGGCAGAGGAGGAGGACAACGAGGAGAGGAGGAATCATGACTCCTCAAGGAGCAGCAGGGATGCAGAGCTGAGGAAGAGAGAGGCGGCAGGAAATGGAGGAGAAAGAGAAGAACAGGTGTGAAGAGGGAGGTGATGGAGATGGAGGAGCAAAGGAGGAGGATAAAGGAGATAAGAGGAGCAAGAGAGGAGGAGTTGTGAGTAGAAGACAAGGAGCAGAGGGAGTTAGAGGAGGACAGTAAATACAGGATTAGAGGAACTGAACAAGAGTGACAGAGGAGGAGGTGCAGAGATGTTCATAGAGGAGCAGGGGAGGGACGAGAAGGAGGAAGAGGAGCAGCAGCGGAGGGACGAGAAGGAGGAAGAGGAGCAGCGGAGGGCCGGGCTGTACCGGGCTGTACTTCCGGGCTAATCCTCTGCTCTTAGCGGCTCCTCTGTGTGCTGTAAGGATTAGCCTGTTGTCTGAGCTCCAGAAGGTCGGGGAGCAGGGGGCCGCTCCGCCCCGCCGGCCCGGCCAGGAGCCTCCGTCAGCGGAGCCCTCCTCCCGCGGAGCTCGGAGAGGATCCGGCGCCGGTTCGTTTGTTGGGCGCGTGGAGCCGAATAGCCAATGAGGAGGCGGACGGTGCGAGCGTTTCCCTGGGCAACGGTTTAGAGGCCCTCCCCTCAATTAACCTCCCGGCACGGTTCACGCGCACGCGGCCGGCCAGAGCGCACGCACGTACACACGCGCGCGCGGAGCTGATAACCGGCGCATTGATATGCAAGATGGAGAGTCACGGAGCCCGAACACGGAGCGGGTCGGGCCGAGGCTGCTGCTCATCATTCACAGCACACAGTTCAGCACGCACACGCCCACGCGCGGCAAAACGCACAGCTTAGCGGAGGATGCTGTGTTTACAATGCGGGTCACACAGGCAGAGATAAAAACACAGCGAGGCGAGCACGGGTCAGCGCGCTGCCGCTGCTGCTAATGCACCGCCGGCACACACTGTGGGCCGGGCCGCAGCACTCAGCATGTTTGTGATGCCGAACACACACCGAACCTCAGCCGCAATGGAGCGCGCGCACACACACA